GCTGCACTGCTGCACTAGTCTGCATTCCCACCAGCAGTGCACGAAGGTTCCCATTTCTCCACATCCCCGCCAGCATTGTCATTTGTTGATTTGTTGATGGCAGCCGTTCTGACAGGTGTGAGGTGGCACCTCATTGTGGTTTTAATTTCCATCTCCGACGATGAGTGACCGAGCACTTGTCTCATTTTGGAAGTCAGCCCTTATCCGCTGTCTCATCAGTGACTGTCCTCGCGCAGTGGGCTCCCCCTGCATCTTGAGAGAGAATGGCTTCTGTTGCTCGGCAGAAGCTTCTGGGTTTCATGTGGTCCCGTCTGTTTCTCTTTCTTCAGGCAGCACGTGGTCTCCTACAGCATTCATTGTGGACGACGGGGAGACCCCTGACGGGCTGAACCTGGGGGCCGTGGTGAGCGATGCGGAGACGGGAGTGGTGTTCCTTTTCTACTCGCTCTGTGCGCACAAGGCCGGCTGCCAGGTGGCCTCCACCATGTTGGTGTGGAGCAAGGACGATGGGGTCTCCTGGAGCCCACCCCGGAACCTCTCCCTGGATATCGGCACCGAGATGTTTGCCCCGGGACCGGGCTCTGGCATTCAGGTCTCTGTCCTGGGATGGCTAGAGGGGGTGCCCGGTGGAGAGTCTGGGAGATGCCCCAACACGGACTCCTTCCCAGGAGAGGTTCCTGCGAAGTCAGTTTCTGTCTCAAGTGGGGTCCCTTGGAAGAAAGGCTCACCCTGGGAGGAGTGGGAAGGTGGAACTCCCCACCCCGTGGTCATCACCAGGGCTGCAAATTAGAAAACACGCCCCTTCCTTGGGCGGACCCCGTCTGTGCCATGGCCAGCGTGGTGAGCGAGCACACAGGGAAGAGCCAGCCTCCGCCCCGCCCCCCGAGGCCCGCCCCTGGTCCTGGATGTTCCAAAGGGGCTTATTCTGCAAAAGAGCGTAATCCAGCAGTGGCTGCTGGCGATCCGTCGGGGATCCCCAGCGAGCAAGGACAGAACTGAAGGGGACACGTGTGCCCACACTGAGGACCGGGTGGCTGCCCTTCCCGCCTCTGAGCCCCCTCGGGCCTCCCTCTGACACGCACTGCCTTTCCCACAGAAACAGCGAGAGCCACGGAAAGGCCGGCTCATCGTGTGTGGCCACGGGACGCTGGAGCGGGACGGGGTCTTCTGCCTCCTCAGCGATGACCACGGCGCCTCCTGGCGCTACGGCAGTGGGGTCAGCGGCATCCCCTATGGCCAGCCCAAGCGGGAAAATGACTTCAACCCCGATGAGTGCCAGGTCAGGAGGCCATGGCTCCGCCCCGCCCAGCCGCCAGCCTAGGCTCAGGGACAGCCCCACGCAGCCCTCCCTGGGTCTCCCTGAGCCTGTTCTCTCTCCTCAGCCCTATGAGCTCCCGGATGGCTCAGTTGTCATCAACGCCCGGAACCAGAACAACTACCACTGCCACTGCCGCATCATCCTCCGCAGCTACGACGCCTGTGATACCCTGAGGCCCCGGGACGTGACCTTCGACCCTGAGCTGGTGGACCCTGTGGTTGCCGCAGGAGCGGTAGCCACCAGCTCGGGCATTGTCTTCTTCTCCAATCCAGCCCACCCGGAGTTCCGTGAGTGTCTGCGGGCCAGGGAGGGCAGGCGGGGTTGGGCCCGTTGTCTAGACAAGGCCTGGGCAGAGACCCTACGTCCCTGACTCTGCTGCTCTTCCCAGGAGTGAACTTGACCCTGCGCTGGAGCTTCAGCAACGGTACCTCTTGGCGGAAAGAGACAGTCCAGCTCTGGCCAGGGCCCAGCGGCTACTCCTCGCTGGCGGCCCTGGAGGGCGGTGTGGGCGGGGCGGACCCGGCCCCCCTGCTCTTCATCCTGTATGAGAAAGGCCGGAACTACTGCACAGAGAGCATCTCCCTGGCCAAGGTCAGCGTC